TTAATTATCAAATCTTTTCATTTGATCTCTTTAGCAAACTTCATTTGGTATCCTGCTCATTTTTTTTTCATCATTTGCCTTGTTTTGTTATTGTTATCATGTTTGTTTTTCTTTTTATATAAATACATTCTGCATTAGTTAAAAATAAAGAAGGTAAACGTTTGGTAAAACTTCAAGTAACATCCTACAAAATATAGAAATAACTTGAGTTTTTGAAAATCAAAGATCATCAATTGAATGTATTGAGTAAAGTGCTATCATTGTAGTATGTTCATTTTATATTTTCACTAGTTCCCTATCCAATATTGTTTAACGGATATTTCTATTCTTTGTATAAAATGATATACAATCGTGTCTTGTTTTCAAGATAATTGAACTGAATATTATATAAAAAGATAAATGACTATTTATAAAACAAATAGCTCTCCATTTATTGATTTCATTCTAAAGAAAAAAAAGCAACATAATTTGACAAACAATCACTATAGTGGCTAGAGATGAAATCGGTAGTAGTTACCGACCGGTAATTGGTAGACTGGTCATTACCGATGTGTCTTATTTATATTTTTGTTCTACTTATCCTATACAGGATGTGTAATGAAGCTTCGTTGAAAGTTAATTATGTCTTGTATCACTATCCACAGATAAAATAGTACGACAGCTCGTCAGTGCAGTGTCTGTATGGATTTCAGGCCGACCGAACTACTCACGACCGGTTGTGAAAAATCCGGACAGGTTTCATCTCTGATATGGACAAAATCAGTGAAAATAGAATATGATCATCTTTGATTTGAATTTGATTCTTTATAAGGGTTATTTTTTTTGAGCAAGTTCTCTTCCGAAGAATATATGTAAAAATATTGACTCTTTCAGGTCACACCTAAATAACTCTCAGACCTTATGACAGAAAAGTCGAAGAATTTCAGAATATACTCCATGTCATGGACTATATCTATGGTGAAATTTTCGGCAAGACTGGACTCTAAAAAATTGCCTTCCAAAAATCAGCTTTCTAGAAAGCTGCGCTTGTCGCAAGTAAGATTTTTTTTGTTTTGATATTATCTCGTGATTCTCAAAGATAGTCTGCACCATTTAGAATTGGCTTTTGAACTTCTCAATCAGTCACAAGAGGATTTTTCGTTCCAATATTCGTATTCATTCACGTCGCTAACAAAGGGTAAACTCTAGTTTTTGAAAAATCTCAGTATGTTCAGAAATAAAAATTCGTAAAGAATTTGTAGTCTGAAGAGTCCTCATCAAAATGCACTATTTTTAAATGGATTTGCTGTCCAGAGATATAAGCATTTTTATAGGATGATAATTTTAAAAATTATCTATTTTATAATTCTTAAAATGAGTTTTTGCAGTATTCTCAATTTTTTATGAGATTCTTAAGTTCGCAAAAATATTCAATTGAACCATTTTACACTGACAAGCGAATGTTATGAGATATGAACTGTTCTTCGATAAAGCGAATGTTGTTTAGTTACATTCCATTCAACAATAGACATAGAATATGCTTCTGTTCTGTTTTTTGGCACAGTGGTACTCATCAGTATCGACTGTATATCAGCAGTAGATTGCCGCTTGGAGAACCACTATCAGCATACCGTGATTGAATGACGGTTAAAAGATTGCCGATCTTTTACGTATTAAACTATCGCTAGTAGAGCGCAGATTATAACGAACGGTCAACCAGCGGGTTTTCGTCCAGTTTGAATCATATGGATAGTTCTCTTTTAGAGGTCCTGCTATAAGTCAATACTATTATCAATCCATTCAAAAATAGTCTACAGTATTGCTTATATAAGTATTTATAAAATGACCCTATTATTTTTTTGAAGGATCGAATTTCTTGTTCCGGAAGATCATAATTCGATAGATGTCATACATATACCACGAGGATTCTAATATTACACATATTATTCAATTCATTTCTTGTTCTTAATTAATTATATTTATAGAAATATTTATTTTTTCAACTAATTCTTCAATAAATATGTATTAACATTCAAATCAACCTATCAAAATACGATTCTTTTTTTCCACAAGTATTCTTTGTCTATTCTTTTACACAAAAGACATCAGTCAAAATTTCAAACCAATAATCACTATTATCATTAACGCATTGTTTATTTTTTCTATATACAAAATAAAGAAGCAACAAAAATGTTTTCAGTCTTTCGTCGTCGTGCTGCATCAGCATCACGATCTGATTCAAGTGTTAAAGAAAATTCACTTATTGAAACTAATGGACGTAGTAAAACCAATACTGAAAATACTGGTTTTATTACACCAAATTTATCAACAAATGGTAATGGAATAAAACATCGTACATTATCAGGTATTTCATTAACATCGTCATCATCATCATCCATAACAACATCACCATTACTTAATATAACACGTCAACAAGAAAAACAAGAATTACAAACACTTAATGATCGTTTAGCTGTTATTATTGATACTGTACGACGTCTTGAACAAGATAATGAAAAATTACGAGTAAATTTTACTAGAATAAATATAAATATTATTTATTTTGTTGTTCTTTAGACTATTGTTAAAACAAGTACTCAATCATTTGAAACTGAAACATCAAAAGTTAAAGCATTGTATGAAAATGAATTAGGTACGTTGAATTTTTAAAATATAAATTAATTAGATTAAATTTCTTATTTTAGATGATGCAAAAAAATTAATTG